CTCATAAACTATTAATCATTCTGAACAAGCGATTAGAGCAGGTTACATACCGGTACCGTACGACTTGCTGCCGAAAGTTATGATCCAGTCCGGATATAGCGAACATATCCGCGTGTACCGGTACTTTTCGACTCTTAGCACATACGATAACTAGGTATGGGCAAGGCTGTACCGGTACCAAAGCGAAAGCTGTACCGGTACGACACCGGTAACGTACGTTACCCTATTATCGCCACTCGCCAATTTTCACCACACGCCTTCAGAATCGCCCTGCTGCCGTCGCACTTTCAGATAGCGCTGAATATGAGTTGTTTTCGGATTGCGACGTCATAAGTGAAAAATATTAAACATATTCTGTCACCCGGTGGCGTAAAGACATTTCAATAAAAACATACATTTTTGTAAAATGTAAAAATCAGCTGATATCACGCTCAGCCAACTTTTTAGGAGGGCGGTAATTACTAATTAGCAGCCCAAAATAGCGCGACAGTGTTTATTTATTTTAGTTTTTGTCAGTCAGTGTTAGATCGACGTTGAATCAAGTTTGAAATGGGAAGTGTTTGTAAATATCGTGCTGTTGTTAATTATTGTATCCGCAGGGTGGCGATAATAGGATAAAAAAAATTTGGCTCGCCAGAAGGGAGAACTGGAAAAATCGTGAAAAAACAAAACAGCAATGCTCAATAATGTGAGGACAAACACTAAAAAAAGTGTTATCAAATCTTTCACAGTAACGGTATTCTCATTTAATAAAAAAAACTTTCGCTGACCGCCAGATCGCCTAAATCAGTGGTCGGCAACCTTTTTTAGGTGACCGACCGGTAAAGCCTGACGAAACTTCTGGCGGACCACCTTTTATACAAACGAACTAAGCTTATGCAATAAATTTTACGCGTTAGGAAACTTATGTTGACATCTTGACAATATACTGAAAAACGAAAGCCATGCTATTTGATGCGAGATCTGTATTTATTGGCTGGCCATTAACTGTTCCAATATTGGAGATATGGTCGACACCGACACATGTAACGCGTTAGGAAACTTATGTTGACATCTTGACAATATACTGAAAAACGAAAGCCATGCTATTTAATGCGAGATCTGTATTTATTGGCTGGCCATTAACTGTCCAATATTGGAGATATGGTCGACAGCGACACATGTAACGTGTTTCATACAGCCTACTTGATATTTCGTTTTTGTAGTTATCAATATTGAAAACCAGGCCTCACATTAATAAGAAAGGTCACAATGCCTGTAAACCTTCTGTCTCTAGTCTGAGTATTGATTGATGTTTGATTGAACTTTTGATTTTATTATTGGTTGTTTTGCCATAACTAATTTTTTACCCAATGTGTTATCTTTATGATTACCCTAATTCCCGAAGTATAGAATTAGCACTGACTAGTCATGACCGGTTAGCTATGAACAAGTAGTGGAGTAGTAGTCACTAGTCACGTCCCTAGCTAGAATCATTTTGTTCGATAGATCTTATTCCGACTGATGTGAGACTTTCTTATACGGGCGTTGAGGAAACAATTGACCCAGCGTCAATGCGACATAATGACATGGCAATTGGTCACTTCTCTTCGGCCCGGTAGTAACCTTTCCGCGGACCGGCGATGGGCCGCGGCCCGGTGGTTGCCGACCACTGGCCTAAATGTGATCGCAGAACCACCAAGCTACGATGCGCATTTTTTAATTTTGATGACGTCATCATATAAAATTTCGAAGTGAAAAACAAATCTCGTAGGACCTACATAAATGTTTGAAATAAATAAAAGTAATAACCTTCTAGCAGCAGCAACACTCTTCAATCATTGAAAATTTTATAGCAAATGATTATGTATTTAAAGAGAAAAGCTATTGAAAAAAAGTTTGACATGAGTGGCGATAATAGGATAATCGTAGTAGTCCGGCAGATAAGGGGCCCTTTTTGGCCCAAGTTTGATTCCAGACATAAAGTTTTTTTTATTTGTGATTATTCATCTTGGTGTCATTGCCCAACATTTCTACATGGGTGTGGAGTTTGCAGCCTTGAGCAATTTTTTTTACGGCTCGATATTTGTATTAGTGTTTTTCGGCAAACCTGTGCATCATAATGACGCACAACCTGAACCATAACCTGTTACAATACTATGTTCAGGTTGTGCGCAATCTTGGTGCAAAAACTACGCGAGCACTAAATTTACTAGGAAATAAAATCAATAACTTTTAGGTATTTATTGAGATATTTTTATTAGTGTTTTTCGTCAAACATGTGCATCATAATGACGCACAACCTGAACCATAACCTGTTACAATACTATGTTCAGGTTATGCACAAACTACGCAAGCACCAAATTTACTAGGAAATGAAATCAATAACTTTTAGGTATTTGTTGAGACCAGTTTGGGTCGCGACCCATATACAGTATTTAGAAATACTGTCGAAACACACGCGTAAAATAAAGAGTACTATTTCAAAGTACCCGTTTTTGTTGCAATTAACAATACAAGCCTGCTAATGCAGTCGCCAGTGGTTCAAGTGGATATACACCCGGTGGAGAACAGTCAATTATTTGTTAGCGAGAATTGTTATGCAGCGGGATGATCACGACGACGCAGTGAAAGATATTTATATCACGAGAACATGAATGAGGAAATTGCTACATTTTATAGTATATCCCTGGGAAAGAATGTAGTTCATTATCATGTTCCATGACAATGCTTTTCAAACTACCAAAGACTCTCAACACTTTTGCCTCTTCTCTTCTATAAAAATACATTGTTATTATATACTAAAAAAGGCGTCGTGCTTCTCTTGCCTGTTGTCATGCTTTCCCTGGAATTCAGCTACAACAAAAATTTCATAAAAACGAATTTTCAAATTTTATGATTTTATTAATATTCCCAAGTCTCAACAATGAATGATATACGGGTGGTAAAATGCCAAGTTATTCCAACAACATGATCATGTTTTGCAATTTATAACCAATATTTTGTATGTAACTTTGTTTGACAGAGCCCTAAAGAGCTCTAACTACAAATATCAAAAATGTGAGGCCAAAAAATTCACACTACAACATTGTCAAATGTGCTGTATTTACGAAATGTGTGCTGTACTTACCCATCTACACACTTTAAGAACTATGTCAGATGAGCGTCCTATTATCGATTATCAGTAAAGGAATAGTGCAATGGGAAAAGACATATAAGGCGGAACTTTCAGTAGTATGCAATCAAATAATCTTATTGTAGAATATATATTTAAAAACATTTCGTCACGCCAAATGCAGTCCGAAACTTTTTGTCTCTGGCTGAGCTTGGATACCAATTGGCACTCATGTAAACTGGTAAGACTGTAAGAGGCACGCGATGGAGCAGATACTAAGAGTATCCATTCCCCAGCTGTCATTTGAGTGGGTACTGCTGTTTTTATTGCAGATGTTACTGATCTTTTTGTATTAAAGATTTACTGGCATCACCGATTTGAGGATATTGGAAACCAACACGCAATATTACAAAAGTTACTTTTAACACGCGGTTTGAATGAATGAAAAAGTTGAAACTAGTATTCTGTAAGAAAACAAACAAATTCTATGGAATGAAATCATACTCAAAAGCCCGTCAAAAACCAATAGCTCAATAATCAAGTGGAATTTGATGCATGTGCGCAAAAATGTGTGCGTTACTACGTACAACCGAAGCATGCAGGAAAATGTGTGTGATGTACTAATATTCAAAACTTTGACTCAACTATGTTGGCATAACAGGTGCACATCTCGGTTTTGCATACGCATACCTTCCATCTCCACAAGGATATATTAATTTTGCCAAAGTCAATGCAGCACTGAAAGGTTGCGGTTCTTCCAAAAGAAAACATGTTACACATCTTCAGATACCAGTGGATGGTTTTACATGGCCTTGTTCGGAGTGAAAGACGAGGTCAAATATTCCAATCCAATTCAACTAATAAAATATTTCCCAAATCCCCAAGCTTAAACTAGGAAAGCAAAATGCGCGCGGCAACGCAAATGTAGTTTGAAGAGCGCAGTAGAAAGTGGCTAGATGCTGTCGATGGATCTAGGCTTGTATTAGTGAAATAAAAAATTGAATTTCTGACATTGTAAGGAGATTCAATGTTACCATGTATGCAAAACTAAACCATGTAGTTATGAAATAATTGTTTTTAACAAAAAGGCGCTCCTGAAGTATTCGTACCAAGATGGCGCACAACCTGAACATTGTATGTTTACCAGGTTACGGTTCAGGATGTGCGTCATCTTGGACCGAATACTTCAAATCCACTTAAAAAAAATTGCTCAACATTATATACTCCACACCCACCTCGGTATCATTAATTTATGTCATATACATTATATCTAAACAATAAAAAAAACTTTATGTCCCAAAACAATGTTATGGCCCGATTCTGCCGGACTATAGTTCCTATGGACCTTTCCCCGACCTTTGACCCTCGAAAAATTCTTCCTATACTTTACCATTGCAAAATTTTCAGGGCTATTTTAAGAGTGCTTTTGCGAGTTGGCGCCTGTAAAATGGGGTATGTGTTTCAAACCATCATTATGATTCATCGCATACAACAAACTGTTTTTTAAAAGTACCGGTAAAGAATTTCAGGCTAGTCTATCACAGCTATTTCTACAATAATTTTTATCACTGCAATTAAATTAAAACTCCTAGGAAGACAGCGTGATCATTGAATTATCTGATTTTTATTTAAGTTTCCGAAACACAACTGAAAACTAACGAATAGAGTTCAAAAACGCGAAAACGAGGTAATGTTTACAACCACGCTTGAAAATCTGTCTGAGTGAGAAAAGTGTCTGAGCGGATGCGAAAAGGGGGCATTGTTACGTCACTCTTCGCATCTTGCTGATTGGCCAATGTCACGAAATAAACAAGGAAGTCGATACTCGGGGAAAGGTCCATTATCGCCATACCCACATTTCCACTATATTCGCTATAGCAAATCCATTTCGCGACTCGCTGCTGTTGGCATTTTTTCCTCCGATCGGTAGCTAATGTTCAGAGACAATATAGAGAAATTATAACCAGAAGTAGATAGACTTCGGATGAATTGTAATAAAAAGTGGCGATAATAGGGTAACGTACGTTACCTGCATACAGGTATATCATGTGATTTGTATATTTGTTTTATCGGGGGAGAGGAAATTGTTGACCAAGGTCTACTGAGTCAGTAAGTTGATTTACATGCTGAATCATGGCATTCCGGTATAGAAGTGCATAGATCAGGGGTCTGAAACTAAATTTACTCGGGGGCCGCTGGAGCAGAGTCTGGATGAGTTCGGGCCGCATCAGGTTTTCCACAATAAAAGCTTAGCAACTCGTTTAAATTGTCTTCCTTGCGCACCGCAACTTTAACTGTGCAGATAAAACATGTCGGGATGCTCCTATGCTCAACAAAGATTGGGTATTGCATTTCCCAGTTTTTTGAAATTGTCTGCGCTGATGTTTCAATCAAGCATTTAGCCGATGGACAGTGATGTTTCGCCACATGGGAAACATGGTTACAATGTATCAAGATAAAACTAAGCGTTAGTGATTGTGACGTCAAAAATCATGGAACACTGTTTTTAAATTATTTCAGGCGGTCTCTCGATCGAATACGGTATCAGGCCTACACGTATGGTACTGGTAGGTTACCGCAGCGCATATTCCTTTCGGGGGATAGATGATGAAATATTTTGTCTTGCCCTACGTGACTATATCTTATATTACAGAGTTTCCCTTTTTCGGCCACGGAACACTTACACTATTTATATCACCTTGCGGAACACCAAAAATTAAAGGGTTAAATCGATGAAGAAAAACGATGCAACGTAGGGGTTCCCAATGGTTTCGCCGTGGCGAGTTGCAAATGCGCGACAAACTTTCAGCATTTCGAAGTAAAACCAGGTATAGAGATGGAGGAAAAACGGTTGACCTTTTGCCTTTATTGTTTAGACTTGCTTGTTTGTCTTTAACAAATTCAAAAGAAGTACTGTAAATATGATAATGAAATTAACAGTCAAAAAGCTAAGCCCACGGTTAACGAAAATGCCACTCCCTAACTTAGTTAGTGAACTTTAGGCCGGCGGTGACGCGATTTTAAACGGTCAGTTGGGCAACAACTTCATGATTCTCAGATTGCCATGGCGACCAATTCAGATGTCTTTTTGATTCCTTTTTCACGCAACACTCGGAAGATTATCGCGGAACATTATTGTTCAGCGGAACAAAGTTTGGGAAGCGCTGTTATATTGAAAGCATTAATCATGCTAACTGACTTGCGGACCGCACTAACATTAAACTTTAATACTAAGGCGGGGGCCACAAACTATCATCCTGCGGGCCGCAATTGGCCCGCGGGCCGCGAGTTTGAAACCCCCGGCATAATTAAACATGAAACTGCGGATTCACTCTATCCAGATACCATGGCCTATCTGTGTCATAAACACACTGGGATAGAATAAGATTTACATATTCATCCCGGGGGAGAGGAAAGCCGATAAGACGGCTTATCCATATGGCGAACCACGGCCTCTCGTCCGGTTACCATTCCAAGTTTGGTATGGGATTAGTTAGACTATATTGTTTGTTTTCGGAAGCATGGACTTTGTGGTGGAGGAAGCCGTAACCCACCAGCGGTTACGTGAACCACCCAACGACGGCGAGGAGTCCAGCAATCCTCTCGCACATAACCATCCCTGCATGGGATTCGAACCTGCGAGGTGCGATGGCGAGCGTATTCCTAACGCTTAGCCCGTTGAGCCACACCGCCGCGCCGCACACTGACATTGACATATGCAGCGACAATTTTTTCTTGTGTATTTACACACCAGCAAAATTGCTTTTGTAAAGACTATTTCATTTTATATTTGCTACTCCTCAGGATGCATTGTATCTATATCATGTATCCATTGTATCTATATTATTGGGCTTCTGGAGTTGAATGAAAATTTATCTAGTATACCGGTACTGCTGTACTGACTGACTGACCAAGTCTGATCTATCTTATTTCCACCTACCAAATAAGTTGACTTTTAGTATAAAATTGTTGCAAAAATGGGTGCTAGGATAGGAACTAAAGAGTAAGGAAACCTATTCAGATACCACAATCAGTACTGCACACTATACAAATCGGGTGACATTGTCCCGTTTCAGAGAAACCCATTTTACAGATGATCAGACACCCCTCTTTCGGGAGACTTCTGAACATTGTTGTCCCTCAATATCGGTAATAATACAGTATAATGAAGTTGCGCAAAATACTACAAAAAGACGCAATCTAGTAACGCCATCATTGAATTCCTTGGAAAAAAATAATCTGATTTACCGAAGGGAAAAAAATTTTACCGTAGCATTCGAGAGTTTTTAGCAAAAAACGGCAATTAATTTAGATTATTATTGAGACAAGCATGGCGTGATATGAAGCCCTCGTTTGTGAGGCACATGAAGTGTTTGTTTTATTGAGCCAAATGGAGGGAAATTCATGAAATATAGATAGTGTGCTGTACTGACAATGTGCATTTTGCAGATTCATTCTCAGCTCAAAATATATGAAACAATCCACATTGAAACGTTCTTTAAACATTGGCATTGATTTTAGCTTTTATTATTTACATGCATTCAAAAAGTCAGGCGGGGGATCTTGAGATATTTGAAACATGTAATAGGGGGAGTGCATTTAGTCATATCATAACCGGTTTAGTAATTCTATTTGTCTATGTCTTTAATTAATACTATGTTAAAACAGTAACTCTATTTCAAAAATCATTATGGCACATGACGTTACAGTGGATGCTTTGCCATATTATGACAAAGGTTACGATGAACCAGGAGTACGAGAGGCAGCCCAAGCCATGGTGGAAGAAGAAACCAGGAGATACCGACCAACCAAAAATTATTTGGAATATTTACCAACACCGAATTATCATGCATTCGAGACAGAAATAATGAAAAATGAATTTGAGCGATTGACAGCAAGACAACCAATGGAATTGCTGAGTATGAAAAGATATGAGCTTCCTACACCTCCAAGTGGTCAGAAAAATGATGTAACAGCATGGGAAGAATGTGTTAAAAACTCTATGGCTCAACTCGAGCATCAAGTTGTACGAATTGAGAATCTTGAACTCATGTTGGAATATGGACCAAATGCATGGAAAGTTTATAATGAATATCTCGTACAAATGCTGCAAGGAGTGCAGAAAAAGTTGCAGCATGTAAAAAAAGAAATTCAAGAAATCAACTGGTCGAGAAAAAATCAACAAATAAATGCAGGTGAAAGAATGCATAAACTTGAAGCTGACTGGGTGAATCTTGTCAGTAAAAATTATGAAATTGAAGAGGCAATAATAAAAATCGAAGCTGAAATTCAGTTGAAGTCTAATTCTGCCAATAGCTGAGAATCAATCAGAAACATAGGTGGGAAATTTTTCGACTGAATATGAAAATGAACAGCAGACTCTGATTTGACCTTGGATTTTTCTCCATATGAATTTCCCAATGTTTGAATTAAGACATTCCCTGGTGATGATACACCAAGAAAAAACATGAGCTTATACAATTTTTTTGCCTTCAATTTTAACCATACAAATATGATTAAACACAATATCCATTGTGGATGGTATTAATTTTATCCTTATGTTGTAATGGTGGCAATTGTTGAGTTGAAATCCATCCATTTGTATTCATGCACATAATTTAATCGTGGGTAATTTTGTACTCTAATATTCAGGGAGAAATCTGAAACTTGAATGCGTTTTATTTGCGCTTGGAATTTGGTAGGGTAGTTCATTATTTGGGTCAATTGACTTAGACCTATTTTTCGAACTGTTGTCATCTTTTTGTGGGTGGTGGATGAAACTCTGAAAATAAAAAGTACAATATCGTTTTAGTTTAATTCAGAGTCTCACAATTTAGGGTGATATAAAGTCAGAAGATTTTCAATATCTTCATGGTTGTTAGCTCGTCTCCCTTTGCCAGACCTCTATATGTAGTAGAATATTTTGCTGGTGCTATTTGAGTGTAGGCCTACATGAGGTCCTAAAATTTGCAAAGGAAAATTTTCGAAACCATATATTGTCATGGCCCTCACAGGTGTATTAAATGAAGTGAAAATACTTAAACAACAACAAACCTGGTTAAGATATATTGAAAGCTGACTTTATAATAAAATTGAAATTTTAAAGGGACTTTATGGACACCCTGTATATCTACTAATAGCTGATCGCAGACCATTAACCTGGAGTTGGCGAGATGCTTCTTAGCTGATGTTGGATACAATAAGAACGAAATGAACTGGTTTGTGACCGTCTCGAAATAACTCACAGATATTTTGCCCCACGGTCGTTTCGCACCAGGCGTTTATCACAATGCGCAAGGCTAGATCGTCGTGATCAAATGGCTTTTTAATGGAAGCCTAAGTAATTTTATGCTAGTTGATGAAAACGGACGCGAACGTAAATCAAACGTAATGATGCTTGATTTCAAACTTGTACACTTTAATTACATGTGCTGTACTTTTTGTTCAAGTGAAGGAGGCCATTTGCTTAATATGACATTCTATCCTCCTCGAGCTTTATGTCTTATCATTCGAAATCACATCAAATTCATGGTGTGTGACATGTTATTTAGCGTGCGACTCGTGGCAAAACTGAAATACAGTTTTGCGGCTCAAAATGCGTTTCGGCTAGACGTGATTGGTCTATCTATTCGTTCCGTTTCAGAACTAGGAGAGCTTTTTGCAGCTTAACAGGTGTATATCGCAGCATTACTCAACCAAAGATATAAAAAAAGGAAAATGTGATCGCGGAGGAAGTCACCAAGCATTTCTTCACGCAATTAAGTAAAAAAGTGCCTGCTTTGCCTATTTATATTTTCTCACCAAGCATTTTCAATATTGCTGGAAATCGTTAAAATATCTCCACTGAAAGTCTCCAAACTGAAAGAAATACTTTGATTAAGCCGCTGTTTCGAAATTTGCTTACATGTCCACCAACACTAAGAAAATTAATCTTGAAATAAGTGAAGACGAACATTTGATATTTTGCATTGTATAGAAAATATGATTGGCCTTTTTTTACTCATAATGTCAACCGCTCTAAAGAAAAAATATATAGACATAGGTAGAACCAGTGATTTCCCTACACCCCCCCTATAGGGGGTGAACACCCCCCCTAAAATTTCAAACACCCCCCCTAATTTTGAGGTGAGATTCCACACTGTAATTCCTAACTCTAGTATAATTGTATTCAAATATAACGCCTATGGCATATTCATCAGTGTAGATGAGGGGTTCCAAACCGCAGTCTGCGGGCCAATTACGGCTCGCGTGACGATTTAAAATGGCCCGCCGAACTTGAGTGAAATAGTTTAACCCTTCATGTGGTACCTTTTGAGTTTTAGATACTGTCTATTGTTACATCATTATCACAGTTTAAGGACGTTTATTTCGTAACAATTGAATTATATCGGTATCTTATGTATACGTATGGGTATTAGGATTACACACTGCAGTATTTTAGATATCAGCCGTATATTAGGAAGGCTTAATAATGTCACAAAACGAAAACTAGGCACCGAAAACAGACGTTTTTTAGATGAATGACAGCGTTTTTATTTTTTTATTGAAAAGAATCAAATTTCAGCGATTTGTCTTCTTACCAACAAAATATTTCAGTTCTGAAGGAATACAACATTATGCGCCATTATGATCAGTTGACGCGCGTATTTCAAAATTTAATTCATTGCATAATTCATACAAAGTTCAAACAAACATGCTAAAAAAAATGTGAAATGTGTAACAAAACAAGCCATAAGTAGCCATTCATACAATGCCAGATAAGCTAGTAACTTCATTAGTCACTATCAGTTGCAAATTACTTGTTGAAACCTAGTAGTATATAGTTACGGTTGAAAGCCTTGCTTTATTATCTATTTCCCGGGAGCAGTGGCGTAGCCAGCCCAAAATTTTGGGGGGGGCCAAATTTGAAAATTTTAGAAATTATATTGGGTTCAAAACACCGTTCTTCAAGCGCCCGTTCTTCAAGCGCAAAACAACAACAGTTGGTCACCAAGCAAACTGATTCAATTACTCAGCTGGATTTTTGTGAATACAAAATCCATTAATAAACAATTTTTTATTTGAAACAACAAATATTAACAACGCAATTTGAATAAGTAAAATACATCGCCCCAATTAAAAGTCCATCCTTCGCTTCCCGCCAACTATGCTCGACACAACTCGATTAATTTTCTCCTCGGTGACCATTTCACGGTGACAGTGAAGCACACACAAATCAGAAAGGCGATTGGACGTCATTGATGAGCGCAGCCATGTCTTTACCCGTTTCATGCATGAGAAAGACCGCTCAGCCTCAACGGTGGTTGCTAGTAGCGTCATAACGATCTGTATTGCGGTGTACACGCTTGACGAGACAAGATGCCACAAAACTGGTGGATTAGGAATGGAATTCTTGAAAATTTTGGGGGGGCCATGGCCCCTCTGGCCCCCCCCCCCTGGCTACGCCTATGCCCGGGAGTTCTATCAGCTAAATATTATAATTATTGATTTCATTACATAACAAACTGCAATGCTAGGTGTATCTAAAATCAAGTTTAGAGCCTATTTTGGTGCCTATTTCTCAAAATTTTCGCAGGGCGCTTAGGCGCGCCCTGAACCCCAGCCGTGCCGTCCCGCATTTTTCCTCGCTGCCTTTTTCTGGCCCTACAATTTTATTCTGCTGTGGATTTTGGCTCGCCGTCAATCAACTTGGGGGGCCCCTCTTGTACATTGTTTCTTAAATACATACCATTTTTTTAAGAATACAAATAGCCTAGCAAATTATTTACCACCCCCTAAATTTCGGAACACCCCCCCTAAATGGAAAAGCTGGGGAACATACTGGGTAGAACCCGTATGTTAGTCGTCGGGTAGAACAGAACAATTTGTTCTGATATTTTCCAAGCCGTTATCGGTCCATCATTTAAACTTCCAAATGCCCTCGAAATATATGCGGCACAAAAGATAGCTTCTTTGCCGACAAAAGCCTTCAGAACCCATTTCTACCATTGCAAGCATTTCCCTCTGAAGCTAGCTGATTACTTAAGATATCCCGTCATATTCTACTTGCAATATTCAATTGCGTTGCAGCGTGTACACTGAAGCAAAATGAGTATCTATGAAAAAGTTGCAGTGTGTTGAAAAATCAACTGGACGAGAAAAATCAATTAAATGCCGACTTGAGCTACAAAAGAAAATGAGTTAGAGCCAAATTCTCATTACCACACTTCTCTGTGTGAGAATTTCTATCAAAACAAATACTTTTTTCAAAGAACATGCTATCCTTCCTTCTGCCGTAATTGTTCACACTTACCAGCACATAGAACAATGATTGCTGACTTTCTATGCTTACTGTATAGGACACTCTACATTTTGAAAGAAAATCCAGCATTGGTCATGAAAATCGACATTTAAATCACCCGCGGCTTCGCCCACCTCAGATACCATAGCCATGTATCATTGTTTATATCACAATGCTTTGTGGAGCTGCTTCTATTTGTACGAGACTAAAATTTTCTAGAATCTAGAAGAATGACGACTGGCAGCTGTAGCTTGGGAGATTTTTTGAGTGAGGATTGTGAGTGCACACATAAATGATTTTATTGGGAATGAGAAACTTGGCGCGGCGGTGTGGGATGTGATGTAAGGAAGTATACCTCATTCTGTGGTATATAAAATGGTGATCTCTATTGAAGAGAAGATTACTATCGACATTATCTTAGTATGAAGGCATTGAGCTGGATTCCAGACTTGTCGTCCTGATTTAGCGCTGATAATGCTGCAGCATGAGTGTTATTACGGCCGCTATACACGACGCTACGAGGGTTGTTCAATTCTCGGGTCGTAATCGTATGTTCCGCCGTGTGTGGTTTATTAACTGTCGTTTAACTCACTCACTGAAATCGCAAAACTGTCCAACACAATGTTCTAATAAGTAAACGCAAAAACAAAGCCTTGAAACTTGATGTGCAATTTTACTTCAAAATTGTGCTCAAATGACAGAATGTAATGCAATAAATGTTAGTGAAGCGTCCAAGGAAGTACGTTTAATTTTTTAATTTGAAATATCTTTACGTAAAGTTTGACTTTACTTACCGACTTATCCAGTCAATAATACTACAAACAAGTTAAGATTTATATTCCAATATCAACTGCAAGAAAAATATGATAAAATAGGATAATATTAGACCAAAATAGGAGAAGCACAAAACCTATATTCCTAACTGTTGCCGACTACTAAAACACAATTCAAACATACCATTTATTGGAACCCGTTTATTCAAGTACATTTAATATCTATTACTAATCGAAGGCTTGCTCCTTTTATTCAAGAAACTTTAAAAACGTTAACAAACTTTCATCAATTTTATTACAATTGATATCAACCAGATATACATATCTAATCAAGTTCAGGCACAATCTATCGTTCAAGTGCCTGTCAACGTCGAATATAGTTAGTTATACGCATACATTTTTGTGTCATCCAAAGGTAATTTTATAATATATATATGAACTCTGCATAGTGGTTTGCATTCTTTTAAACGAGTATGGTTAGATATTCATCTTTTGTAAAAAAAAGTTGCATTGTGTCATTTTGATTGTTATTGTTTTTATACAGGAAGTGTCTACAATACGAGGGCCGTGCTATGGAATTTTAATGAAGGTTATTGTTGTTCTTGTTCGCGTTTTTGCTTGTCCGTACCAAATGTTTTTTATAGTTGTCAAAAATGAAAAACATTTATGTAGTTTAATCTCTGTGAATTTTCAGTGTTAGAATGCAGTGTTCGGAAAGCATCTCAAACTGAAATAATAATAATTGCCTGAATAATATACTATTT